GAGACCATATTACTGCAAAAACATCCACATGGAACAGTTCACCACCCTCTAGTTTCACCCGACCCCACTCCCCTTTTCTTAACTATCACGTGTGATCAGCCAGTCATTCATTCCCAGACATTTCTCCAGTAGTAAAGCCACCACTGGCTCCAAGTTGAAACAGCACCACATCCCCTAGGGGAGAGGGTATGGCATTTACAAGGCCCCTTTTCTCTTCCCAGTGGTCAGGGAAACTTGTGGACATTTAGTGGGAAAGTACCAGGAATACAGTGTGTTCTTTATGGAAAGGATCTTCCCTCTCTTCTCTACAATCTCGCTAGAACAATACTCCAGAAACATTTAAGCCAGTGGTACTATGATCCTTCATGACACCCAGAATTTCTTAAGTTGTGAAAACTAACTGAATAATTTAGGAAATTACCAGTATGTAGATAGAAGTCTCAAAGTAATAGCTTAAAAATTATTGCAGAATTTATTTTGTGCACATTTTCTACTAAGTGAAATATAGCCATGTACACATGTACATATATAAGTATTGTACATATATGTGCTTGCACACATAGCATGTAGACCAGAGGAGACCTGAAACTCTACAGAGCTGGAACCAAGTAGTATTAAATTAAGGAGACATATGAGATACTCATGTCTCATTAGGTTTTCTGTCTCTTCACCTGTCTTTAAAAGTTGGGCGGTGGTGGTGCACGTCTTTAATCCCAGCACTCAGACCCAGCCAGGCGGATCTCTGTGAGTTTGAGGCCAGCCTGGTTTACAGAGCACAGGCACCAAAACTACACAGAGGAACTCTGTCTTGAAAAAAACCAAAAACAAAAAACAAAACAAAACAAAAAGTTGGGAGTACTATGATGAATTTGTGGAAAGGTGGCATAGTGAAGTTAGTTTGGAGTTACAGAGTTACAGCACATGTCACTTTTCCTTTCTTATCCTCACAGAGGATGTGTTGCAAAGCATGGTGGGCGTTTAAGACATAGATAAGGTTTTTACGATAACCTTCTATTACTTGATTCTGTAGCATAAACCAGAATTGTTTTGACATCACACTTGAGGTCTTTTTTTCTCTTTTCTCCATATGGTTTTCCTTCACTTACCTTGCTAAGTTACCTTTTAAGGCTTTTTGTTGTTTGTTGTTTTGTTTATTTGTTTGGTTTTCAGGACAGGGTTTCTCTGTGTAACAGCTCTGGCTATCCTAGAACTCACTCTGTAGACCAGGCTGCCTCTGCTTCCCAAGTGTTGGGATTAAAGGCGTGCACCACCACCGCCCGGCCCTTTTAAGGCGTTTTATCCTTTTTTTTTCCCTTTAATATAATGTGTCTACTCTTTTATTTTAAAACAATTTATTCTCTTATCCACCTCTCTCCTCCTTTTCCTGTACCACTTGATGGTATGATTTTTGCTCATTCATTTTTGAAATCCAGGCATACTTTACAAGTTCTGCAAACATCTGATCACCTCATTATCCTCCGGCGTGTTCCAGGAGAACAATTACATACCGTGATACAGAGGATTATGGTCGGCTCTCTGTGTCACCTTGCTTTAATTAAGGCTTTACATGAATTTCTGAAACCATATACATGGCCAATTAGCCATGAACTTCAATTCAGGGTGGCCCGGGCATGACTAAATGCGTGTGATGGAGGTGGGATTTGTTCTAATAGAGTGGAGAAGCACTATTTTAAGCCTTCTGTAAAAAACACTTTGAAGATGGCTAAGTAGGTTGGCTATTTCTGCTTCACCTGGAGCAGGCGGGGTTTGCTCTTGTTGCCCTGGCACGATTATTAATCATGTCTCCTGGCGCTGGGAGTCCTGTTTGGATGATGAATGGTGTTGCCACATACTTTGGGGAGCGTTCCTCCTTCTTACCATCTTGACCACACCATTCACTTTTGGATCCTGGCGTTCTGTTTCCATCCATTCTTCTTACGTCTTTTGATGAAAAGCACCAGGTTTTCTCTTAGACCCTCCTCTGTTGAACTTTTCACTCCTAAGACCTACCAGCATTCCCTTTATCCTGTCCTTGAAAAATCTAAGATGAGTGGTTAAAATACCTCCAGTGTCTCGGTCTCCCCCTTGCAAACTGTTCCAGCCCTCGCCAGCTCTCTTGCCTTGCTCCTCCATCTCTGGCATTCTACCTTAACCTCCTTCCCACTAGTTTTCCCATCATAGCCTTACTATCCTGCCAGCTTTTCATACTTTGGTAAAATTAGTTTTTTGCCTTATCTGACTATTTATAACTTGAATCCTCCCCCATCCCGTATAGACCCTGTTAGTTATCTCAGCCCCAATTCTCTGTTGTGATGTAAGCTCTCTGGTATGACCTCATATTGACATGAGCATTCCTCAGGTCCACCCTTAGATGGCCCGTTTGTGCATTGCCCTTAAATCATACTGTAAATTGCCCTTGCTCTGACAGAGAAGCACCTGTAACATTTGTTATTCGGTGGGAAAAAATGCCACATTTTTGCTTGTTTTGTTTTTCAGATTAAGATGTCTAGCTCCTAAGATTTTTTTTAAATTCTCCATCTATTTCTTTATTGTGGTGAAAAGCATGTAATATTTACCTTTTCACCATTTTACCATAATGTGCCCTGAAGTGACCTGAAGTGATCAGCAGTATACCGTGTCATCCGTACACCCTCAGCTCGCACAGCTGCTACCACCACCCAGTTCTAGGACTTTATCATTACCACAAACGGAAATCCCATGCCACTAATTTCTCTCCTCCTCGTGGCCCTGGCAGCTGCCTACCACTTTCTTTTCTCTGTGGATTTGCCTGTTCAGAACATTTTTTAGAAATGAAGCCATAAAGTATGTGCCCTTTGTGATAAGCTTCCTTCACATCACATACTTTTCAAGGCTCATTCAGACTGCAGTGTGTCAGTACTTCCTTCCTTTTTATGGCTGAATAATATTTCATTGCATGAATAAACTGCATTTTGTTTATCTATTTATACAGAAGATCCGATGGGTAATAGGGTAGCACTGAGAAGTGCCGTAAATGATAGGTGGTGGGACTCTTAGCACCATGCTGTCGTGTGGAACATGTACAAGATGCTTTGACTCCCTGTTTGGATGCCAGATTTCATTTTCCCTTTCTCTTCTTCAGGAGAGGGAAGGACTACATTGCGTTTCTTCTTTTTTTAAACAATTATATTTATACATTTTAAAAATATAGCTAATTGGGGTTGGGGATTTAGCTCAGTGGTAGAGCACTTGCCTAGCAAGCGCAAGGCCCTGGGTTCGGTCCTCAGCTCTGGAAAAAAAAAATATAGCTAATATTACTGAAAGCAAAATATAGCTAAAATTATTGACCACCCTACCACCCCCAAACAACTGCTATTAATAAAGATTTTCTGTTTGTACTTCTTCCAACAGTATGGAAGGGGCCCAGCATCTTAGCTGTACATGTTTGCCGGGTCCTTTCAAAACTTGTCTCCCCTTTGATCAGCTTCAAGTTTCTTTTAACCTTCTTGACTGTAGAAGGCGATGACACACCCTGCCCACTCTGTGGTCATACCGAACAAAAATGCGTCAACAGTGATCACTGATCCACGGGGTCACAACTCGAATGTGATGTAAGCGTTGGTGGTTGATCCCGTCTCACTGATGTACTGTTGAAATCTCAAGATGGGAGCGTCTGGGGAAACTCTCACTGTGATGTTTAGCCTTTACCCTTGAGTTCATTCCTGCCCTGTCATGTCAATGAAATAGATAAGAGAGAATAAGGAGATCCACCGCTTTCCAGTTAATGCCCTGTAAATTCCCCACCGCAGACGCTTGCTCATATGAGAATGACTGAGCCTTCCCTGTGGGCCTTAGGGAGGCTTTTATCCACGTTCACAGCTTATGGTAGAAAAAGAACAACTTCCAGTGTGATGGCTATCTCAAAAATGCCCTTTCCTCCTCCTTCTCCTAACTCAAAAACAACACTGTGTATAATTATGTTACAGCAGAGTTATTTCCTAGTCACATTATATATTCCCTCCCCAGCTGTAGCAACTGGGTAAAGGGCACCCCACCTGGTCTCTCTAGGCTTACTGCTTAACTGTTTCCTGCCTGGTATGCCAGTGACTCACCCAGACTCAGTGGCACTGGCTGTATTAACTTCTCAGCGAGAACTGGTGGTGCCCAGAATGACAGCACCTTGCCAAGGACTGGCAGTACTGCGTGGGGCAGTGCTGCTGATTCAGGGGAGGTGTGGCTCCATGGCGGCTCTTCCCTGTTCCATTTCTGCTTGTTGCTGTTTGCTCAGCCTTCTGTGGAAGAACGGAGTCTTGATTATACCCATCATGATAGATATGGTAAGAGGTGTACAAGGGCATCTCCTTCTCTCCCTTAAACTGGCTTATGTTCTGGGAAGGTCCTGGATCTCTACAGGTAACTCTCACAGTAGAAAGTCCATAGCAATACCTCACAACTCAGCAGAGAGGTTGATATTCCAGAATCTGGGAGACCCAATAAATTCCTGAACCGTTCTAGGCTCTGTGACTTTACACATGTGACTTCTCTGATTTCATTTTTCTCACCCATTGAAAACATGTAGGAAGAGGGCTGGGGAGATGGTACAGCAGTTAAGAGTTCTTCCAGAGGACCCAGGTTCAGGTCCCAACACCTACATGGTGGCTCACAACCATCTGTAACTCCAATTCCAGGAGATCCAACACCTTCATCTGGCTTCTGCGGGCACCAGGCAGGCACCTGGTGTGCATATATATGCACACAGGCGAGTACTCATACACACAAAATAATAATACATAATTTTTCTAAAAAATTAAAAAGATGGCAGACTAATGTATTACCATTCAATTATTACAAGGATCCACGTAACCTGATGCCCACAGGGAATCAGCACGTGTGCATGTGCGCATCAAGGTTCACTGCTACCATCGTGTCCTACCTTCTGTTGTTGAATCTGCATGACTCATGGCCAACACTGGTGGGTGCAGTGCTGACTCTTTAACCTTCTCTCTGTTTGTTACTTGCAGGGAATCTTACGAAGAAGCATGGTCAGCCTGCTGTTTCCAAAGCCTCAGGGTAAGTTCTGGAATGTTCAAGCCGGAATAAGGGTTGGGTTGGTTTTTCCTGCTGACTTGACTAGCATAGGTCTAGCACATAAGTCCTAGTGGCACATTGTATATCATTTCCCCAGCATCTTCTGACCTGGCAGCCTCTGTAGGTAGCACCTTTGGCCCAGCTACTACATGCTAAGGAAGTGGAGGACTATGCCTATGGTCTTCAGAGGATTCTAACAATCACGATAATAATGGATACAAAATTCAAATGAGTAAACTTAGAAGAAGCATTAGCAATAACTGCTGTCACAGACAAGCCCCAGATCTTGATGGTTCAACCTAAGCTTATTTCTCAACAAAGGGACGTTCATTGCAGATGTCCTTGAATGTGTGAGAGCTTCCACATTCTCTTCAAGGAGCTTCCTCTGTTTTGTGGCTCCATCTCCTGGAGCTTCTGCACCTAGGCAGAATACTGGGCCAAAGCAGAGGATCTTTCTGGAGGTTTCCATGAGTCAGCACTGGAAGCTGCATACGGCTAGCCTGCTCTTGTCCTATTGTCCAAAATACAGGTTTTGGGCCAGAGCTCAGTAGGACTCAGGTTTAAGGGAGAATAGTAAATTCCACACGGTAGCATGTTCATGTGGTAGAGGTTATATGTTCTAGTGCCACTGATTTTCGCAGAGGAGACCAGAGAAAGCGTTTGAGGCATAGAGTTGGGGAAACAACTCTTAAATGGTTTCTGACCACAGTTTAAGTGGCAGGCAGGAGAGGAAGAATTGAACTGTTACCCTGTCTAAGTTTGGATTCTCCGTTGATTTCTTCCTGGGGACAGATTTTCATTCCCAGCAGGGGAGACTTGTCCTAGCATCTGGGGCGAGTGCCCACCGAAGTTTGCCACCAAGTTGGGCCGAGCTGTGGTCAAAGAAGGGCAGATGGGGCGGTTCTCCTGCAAGATCACTGGCCGGCCTCCACCACAGGTCACCTGGCTCAAGGTGAGGTTTTGTCTGCCCAGACTCTGACTCTGGCCAGGAACCCTGAGATCTCAAAACCCTGGGACTAGTGGGAATCTGGCTTTCCAGTTGGTTCCTTCTGTGTCAACCCTAGGCTGTTTTCAACCCCATCTCCCCAAGGCTCTCAGTAGGTGTGATAGTGACATTTCTATTCCATTGTTCCCCTGCTGTTACATGGACCTCTCGTCCTCACACTCACAAAACAGCATAAAGCCGCTGTGTAAAGACAGAGCAGGCATCTCAGGAGAGGAAGTTGAATTGGGGTGCTGGTTTTCAGGCAACAGCTCTATGGTTCATGAAGCGTGTGATGCTAGACAAGTCCCCTACTCTCTTGGAGCCCAGCCTCCTTACCATTGAGATAGGAATAATGCCTTGACAAGTTAGTGGACACTCCACGTGGAAGTGCTTGGCAAACAGTTCAGACCTGGGCAGAGTGAAGAGAGGCCGCGGAGACAGTGGTGCCAGGCAGTGAGAAAGATGAGGATGGAGCAGGGCATGAAGAGAGGTCGGGAACAGGTGGGGTCAAGGCCAGAGAGAGAATAGATGATTTTTTTTTTTTCAGAAAAGAAACTCTGAGAATGGTAGGGCTGCTTTTACCTGTCTCTTGATTCTTCTAAACTCATCCTCAGGGGGGGTAAAAAAAAAAGGAGGCAAAGACAAACTGAAGTGAGCAGTATAGAGTACCTTTCCATACCCCTTCCTTCCAAGAAACGCAGGTCTTTTGGGACAAGTTTCCACACATTGGCTCCAAGCCTATGCAAAGGCCTCAAGTAGGGATTGTCTTAGTCTTTTCTGTTGCTGGGTTAAACACCGTGACCAAGAGCATCTTGAAGAGTTTATTTGACTTGTGCTTCCACATCCCTGTCTATCCCTGAAAGAAGTCAGAGAGCAGCAGCCTGGAGGCAGGAGCTGAAGCACAAGTCCTGGCTCCTCCCTGCCTTGCTCTCTCTAGCTTGTTTAGTTTGGCTTTTCATACACACCAGGACCACCTGCCCAAGGACAGCATGGCCCATGGTGGGCTGGGCCCTTCCACACCAATCATCCATCAAGAACATGTCCCACAGACTTGTCCACAGGCCAGTCTGATGGGGCTGTTTTCTCACTTGAGGTGGTTCCCTCTTCTCAAATGACTCCAGCTTGTGTCAAGTTGACAAACTAGCCATCACCATGACAACTGTCCAGAGACCACAGAATAGGTGCCGTGTACCCAAGCCCTGGTGTCCATTCCACAGGACTGGTGGAAGGTGGGATAACCGGGTTGAAAAGAGAGCAGACTCCTGTAACCAAGCTCCTCTCTTGCCACTTACAGGAAAATGTCCCATTGCAGCCAAGTGCTCGTGTGTCCATGTCAGAGAAGAATGGTATGCAGATCCTGGAAATCCATGAGGTCACTCGGGATGACATGGGCGTGTACACATGCATGGTGGTGAACGGGTCAGGGAAAGCCTCCATGTCAGCGGAACTCTCCATCCCAGGTACTGAGGGGCCTCACGCAGAGGGACCCTTTCCTGGTGCCAGGACCCTCCTAGAGGAAACTATTCCTCCTGTCTCTTGTGTATATACATGTGACACACTAACATAACCATGCATCTTCAATGATAGAGTAGAAGAAAAGGGACGGGCTAGCGGCACAGAGCAGGCCTAGAGGAAGATGCCATGAGTTGTCTGTCCACTTCATTTGTGTCCCTAACTAGGTGCTGCCCCTGTGTCTTCTGTCCTTTTTCCTAACTCGGGTAGCTCTCTCCTATCTCTGACTATTGGAGAAGTAGGTGTTGCTGATGCTCTGCCATCATTCCTGCCTGAAATCTAACTTGTCCCTTCTGTCCCTCAAATCAGATGTGTATAAACTGACAACATGACTGCTCCAGGATATGGTCATTTGTCCTGAGTTTCTTAGACCCGACAAGGTGCTCCCTCAACTTAACATTTTCTACCTAGGATCTTCCTCCTCACCAGCCTGGACTTGTCAACAGTAGCTCCTCTGCCTGGCTTTCATCCTCAGCTCCTGTCGGTTCTTCCTTTGCAACCTCTCTGGATAGCCTGCTTACAGTTCTCTTGCCTCCCCAAGTCTAGCCTGGGGAAGCCTGAGCATGTGCGTGGGGGAGTCTGGCAAACCAGACAGGCTCAGATTGCACTGGTCACAGAAGTCAGAAAGGGGGGGACCTCACCACCTTCCTCCTCCTTTCTTCCCCACTTCTGCCTCTGGTTTTTCCCCTTTGTATCTCCTCCCTCTCCTCAGAAACCATGCCTTCTTGCTTTGTCTGTCTGTCTATCTATCTATCCATCCATCTATCTACCTATCATCTGTCTGTCTGTCTGCCTATCTAATCAATCTATCTATCTATCTATCTATCTGTCTGTCTGTCTGTCTGTCTGTGTAATCTGTCTGTCTATTTGTCTATCTATCTATCTATCTATCTATCTATCTATCTATCTATCTATCTATCTATCTATCATATCTGTCTGTCTTTCTATCCATCTATCTATCTATCTATCTATCTATCTTTCTATCTATCATCTATCTATCTATCTATCTATCTATCTATCTATCTATCTATCTATCTATCTATGAATCATCTCTTTATTTTGACTTAAGTATTTCTGTAGTCCACAGAAAGAAACTTGTGTGTTTAAACCTATTTAACTGAAGCAGGTTTCATGGAGCCACCCTGACACATTCCATGTACCACGTGCACTGGTATTTTCTGTTCCACCCGATACAATTAAAACAAGAAACCCCAGTCCTGATCAAAGAATGTGCCTTGGCCCCTCCCTGTGGGTCAGGAACTGTGGCAGGCCTCTGCAGCAAGGCTGAGCCACCCTCCCTTTATTTTCCATACCCTTGCGTTTAAAAGCCACTCCCTCCTAATGCACTTAATGACAAAATGATACACTGCTGGGATCTGTTTGAAAGTATCCAAAACCAAGCAAACAGACTAAGACAAAAAGAGACAGACAGGACTGGTGAATTGTTCTTTCCTCATCATATAATGTCCACCTTCCTACTAGTATATATTTGGGAATTTTCCATGATAAAATTTAAAAAGCATCAGACAGACTTGGTAAGAAAAGAATATATTGTATACTTCCTGGGAGAATAAAATGTCACTTCTTTTGTGTGTTTCTAAAGCATTTATCTTCCCAAAATGAACTTTTTGGAGTGCGTGCGTGCGTGCGTGCGGTTTTGACAGCTAAAGCATTGGGGTTTGGCACTTTTGTTGGAGGGTTTATTCCATGATTTGCCTGTCTGTTGGTTATCCTTCCCTCCATTTGGTGAGGGGGAAGAGAGTCCATGTCCTCAAGCCCCAGCAGCTGTTAGAAAGCCCAGGAAATGTTCCTAGTGTGAGAAAGATTTCTCACCCTGCCCCAAGCCCCAAGCAGGGAAACTCTTCAATAAATGAAAACAATGTCACCTTATCATTGTCTCTGCTTGGCATCTAAACTAATCCACTGTCTTTCTGCCCCTCTTCCAGGTTTGGACAATGCCACTAGGTATGTCTTCTCTTCATAATTGTTATGTTTTTCATCTTAAAATCCTCCGCACAGAGCGACAGCAGGGAAATGCCCTGAATTGTCAAGTCATAGTGTAGGAAGCGAGGATTGGGGGTCGCTTTATTTGTGGGTGCTGTGCTTTTTCCTCCTGTGGTAATTTGCTGTCTGGTTTGATGAGAGTCTCCAAAATCAGCATGAAAATTCCTGGAGGGCTTGGCGCCTCAGCATCCTCTCAGTGTCTTCTAAAGCAGACCATCCCAGGCCAGAATCCACTCCATCCTCTGGCATACAGTCATGATTGCTTTCCTTCCTTTCTGGGTGTGAGGCACAGAGTGGATGTCAGCGCACAGAGGGAGCAGGCCATCCACTGTAGAGAAGGGCTTTAAACTGCCTCCCATATAAAATGACAACTGCGATCTCCGAGGAACGACACCAGTTGCAATTACTGGGGTTGAGAATGCCCTTTCTGAAAAGTCCGCATTTGAACTCAGACCTGGAAAGTGCAACAGTAGCAGATGAGGAAAGCTCAGGAGGACAGGTTCCAAGGAGCATGCTGGGAAAGCCTGAGAGGAGGGCCGTGAGGCCCAAATAAGCCCCACATGACTGTGGTAGCCTGTAGATCAGTGGCTTGTGCAGCAAGAGGCAGCTGGGACTTTATCCTTAGTAGAGTAGAAAGCTGAAACCTTCCTGAGCTTCAGTGATATAACTCAGTGTATGTCTTTAAAATTGACTGACCACAGAGGCTACTTAGAATTGGATCAGAGAGGGACTTTGTGAGCAAGGGAAGCCTATGATTGATTTGAACTCCAGAGCCCCAGGGAAAAGACAAGTATCAATGCATAGGGCTATGGGTGGAAGCAAAGGACAGGGGAGATCATTGGTGGCCCCTGAGCTCCGACATGGGATGCAGAGCAAGCTGCAATACTTTGCTATTAGCCATCATCTGTAGGCTTTGTGATACTTGACATCTCTACCATGGTGAGTAACATTTGCAAGTAACCAGATGACCACCCTGCCCCTGTTTCCCTCTCCCCCTCCTGACCGTCCTCGTTGCCATACAGGACGTTTGTGAGAGCAACCAAGGCCCCCAGTCCAGACATCAGGAAGGAGGTGACCAATGGAGTCTCCAAGGACCCAGAGACTGTGGCCAAAAGTGAGACCTGCTCAAGCCCCCAGAGGAGTGTCTCCTCAGCCTGGGCCACAAACAGCCACCTGAAGTCCCTGCAGGAGCCCAAGCTGAAGCTGTGTGAGGGTTCTCCCAGAAAGGTCCTGCAGTCCTCAGTCTTGCAGAAGACTTCCAGCACCATTACCCTGCAGGCTGCGAAAGTCCAGCCAGAAGCGAGAGAACCAGGCTTCCGGGCCTTCTCTCCTGGGGAAGAGAGGAAAAGTCTGGCTGTCCCTCAGCAAGCCACACTCCCTACCAGACAGTGTGGCCTGGGAGGCCCAACCGGGAACAAGTTTGGTACCAGGAACATCTCCATAGAGAGCCAAAGGGAGTCGACATTCCCCAAATTTGAGAGTCAGCCCCAAAGCCAAGAAGTCACTGAAGATCAGACAGTCAAGTTCATCTGTGAGGGTGAGTAGCGCTGCTTAAGGTGCTGGTTCCCAAAATGTAGCCAGCCCCTTGATGGCTCTTCCTTTCCTTCACCACACATCAGCCTGCACCTCCTGTATCTCTGCATCCCTCTTCAGGTCCCCCAGGAAGCTACTTTCCAGGGTCTTCTCTTTAGGAAGTGCTCAGTCTCTAAAGCCCTCGGAGTTGCCCATGACTTCTTATGAAATAGAGCGTTGGTCCTGTGCTCTAACTCACCCCTCAGCATATCCATCATCACAAACACACTGAAGGCCCCTTCTTCTCTGTCCTCCTTTTCCAGTGCCTGTCTCCCCTGGAGAATTGGCCCATCACCCCTGCTGTCCCCTGCCTCAGGATCCTGACTCTCACAGGACATCTACTCAGCGAGTGCAGGATCCCAGGAGAGGGGGCAGGCTTGGAAGTAGGAAATCAGTTCCCGCCTAGCCTGAGTTCTTCCCTCCCGTCAGTCTCTCCCCACCCCACCTTATAAGCCACACAGTGCTCCCTGAGGGCACCTGTTCCACACATGTCCCTATAGTTTCAGGGATACCAAAGCCTGAAGTGGCCTGGTTCCTGGAAGGCATCCCTGTGAGGAGACGAGAAGGCGTTATTGAGATTTATGAAGACGGTGCATCCCATTACCTCTGCCTACGGAGAGCCCGGATGAGGGACAGTGGGAGGTACAGCTGCACAGCATCCAACATCCTTGGCCGTGTGTCCTGCAGTTGGACCCTCCTGGTGGAACGTGAGTACATCCCCCGATTCCCATGATTCAGGCAGTTCAGGTCCTACAGCTCCGCACCCTAGACTGCAGCTGTCGTCCTCACCGACAGACCAAGGGAGAAGTCACTGCTCCCACCCCCGCACCCCCCAATTCTTCAGCAGATGTTTATTGTAGAGTCACCTCAACACAGACGTTCCCCAGTCCATGCCAAGGCCAGTTGACAGCTCTATTTTTTTAGGTTCCTCAGCTGCCCAAGTAGTGCCATGACTCAGCTCTAACCACAGAGAATGAGCATTCACTAAATATACAGGCTTGAAGAAATAGGAGATGATGGGGTGCCACGCCTTTTATGTTTACTCAGTGTCTGTTTATAGAAGCAATGCATGTTCGTTGTGCAGGATTTAAGCCATATATAATCTTCTGGCTCCAAAATAATTATTTCAATGTCTTTTAAACAAAATCATCATTGTGCTCGCTTGAATCCTGCTTTCTATCCTAATTCACTCACAGAACACAAACCTCTTTCTATACTGTTTAATATTTTTGAAGGCATGATTTTTAGTAGTCGTAGACTGTTGTGAGAGTAGACATGGATAATTCTGGCATCTTTTTGTTTTGTTGACGGTTTCTGTTGTGGTCACTGTCCCACCATTACAGAGAAGCCATGATGAGTTGTCCTGGACACGCAGCTCAGCGGTAGAGTGCTCCTGTAGCTTGCACGACTTCCGGGTTTTGATCTCTGGCGCCGGAACCAAAGAAGAGAGAGGAAGGAAGTTAGTCAGTCAATGTTTCCATTTGTTTTTCTATACAATTTCTCCCTGCTGAGAGGACTCGGTGGGCAAAGGAGCTTGTTGCCAAGGCTGATGACCTGAGTTCAATCCTCAGGATACTACACACTGTGGGAGGAAAGAAGCAGCTCCCACATCCTTGCTAGGCCATGTGCGCTGTATGTGTGCACACATGCATGCACACATGCACACAGACATACACACACACTAAATAAATTTAATTACAAAAATTCCTGGGCTGGAGAGATAGCTCAGAGGTTAAGAGCACTGACTGCTCTTCCAGAGGTCCTGAGTTCAATTCTCAGCAACCACATGGTGGCTCACAACCACTTGTAATGAGATCTGGTGCCCTCTTCTGCAGGGACACATGCAGGCAGAATACTGTATACATAATTTATAAAAAAAAAATTCCCTTTTGAATGCATAATGTGCGATTGTGAGCCCTAGGTCCACGTCAAACCACTGATAAACCTATTAAATGAAAACCCTAGGAGTAGAATACACCAAGTTGGGAGTTCTACAGGACCAGCAACCTTTGCCAGGTTATTTTAACAAATGAATTACAAGGAAAGTAAAAGGAAGGAAGGGAGAGAGAGAGAGAGAGAGTAAGAGAGAGAGAGAGAGAGAAAGAGAGAGAGAGAGAGAGAGAGAGAGAGAGAGAGAGAGAGAGAGAACAAAATGATTAGATTAAAAGGTATAAAACATATCAGTATTGAGAGTTTGAAGGTTTTATACAATTCTGACTAAAACAGTTTTTAAGTTTTTGTGAGAGATCAGACAAATGCATTGATACATGGTGCTATTTAAGGTTGTGATGATGGTCTCAAGGCTTCTTCTTAACTAATTCTCTAATGAAATGATATGATTTCTTATATTTGCCCTAAAAATACTTGACATTTGGGCAGCATAGGCAAGAATATCAACAAAACAATACTGGTCTATAAAAATGGAAGTGAGTAAGAGCTACACAGAGATTCACTGCATGACTCTGTCTGCTTTTGTGTGTATCTCAAATATCCACAGGAAATCACTCAGTAGAAGAGGGTGTCAGGAACCTCTGGAACTAGTTACATGCAGGTGTGAGCCATCTGTCCTAGGTACTGGGGACCAAACCCAGGTCTCTGGAAGAGCAGCCGGTGCTCTTAACTGCTCTCTAGCTCCTTTGCTTGCCTCTTGACTGGGATTTTACTGTGCTGGTGAATTTCTTTACAAGGAGTGTTATCTATTCTTTTTGGAGATGGAGTACCTGTGGCAGTGATGTCAGGCCTAGGAGCTCTTGCTTCATCAGCTGGTCCAGGTTCCATGTCTAGTTAGCGGGTAGATGTGTGTCTTCAGGGCTACCAAAGGTGGATGGGATGTCTCAAGAGCCTAAATTCTCCTCCAGCTTTGTCTGCTCTGAATTTATCTACATCTTAGGGAAAACAATTTTTTTTTTTTATTTAACATCTTGGGGTAGTTTGTCTCTTACCAACCCTCTATCATTTTGTTGTTATTGTTGGTTTGTGTGGTAGGCAATTTGAGACATAATTCATATAACATAAAAGTCACCCTTTGAAGTTTGTAATTCACTGATTTTTAACCCATTCACAGAATTGTATGCCCATCACTACCGTCATTTAGACAATCACTCCAAAATCCTACGAGTCATCAGACGTTGCTGTTCCCATGGCCCCAGCCCCAAAACCCATTATTTATTTTCTGTCTCTGTGGATTTTCCCATTATGAACATTTTGTATCAATGGAATCATATAATGTTGGGGGTTTTTGTGAATGGCTTCTTTGTCTTAGAAGAATGCAACTGGGCGGTGCACACCTTTAGTTCCAGCGCTTGGGAGGCAGAGCCAGGCGGATCTCTGTGAGTTCAAGGACAGCCTGGTCTACAGAGTGAGATCCAGGCCAGGTTGGGCTATTACACAGAGAAACCCTGTCTCAAAAAACAAAACAAAACAAACATCAAACAAACAAAAAACAAGCAGACCGTTTCCAGGTTTCATCTTGTTGTAGCTTGTACCAGCATTCCATTCACCTTTGTAGCTGAATAACATTCCACTGACTGGATCACCTTGTGTCTGTCCAGTCATCAGTAGAGGAATGTTGGGTGTATTTCTGCTTCTCAGGCATTTTTTTACTTTAATTTTCTTAAATTTTCCTTACATGAGTACACTGCATTTACACATTTTCACCCCACCCTCTCCCACTCCAGTACCTCCTATGTACCCCATCACCCCTCTGTATTTTTCTATAATTATTATTGCTTTACACACACGCACACGCACATGCACACACACTTACTTAGTCCAGTTAGCATTATAGCATTACTTGTAGGCACATGTGTTTAAGGAGGACCACATAGGATTGAGAAGTCTATCGGGGGCTTTCATCCCTGGAGAAAACTGACTCTCCCTCCCTCTGCAGCCATTAGCTCTTCTAGGGGTGGAGCTCTCTGTGAGCAGTGTGTGCAGGTGCTTTCCAGTGTCTGGGGAACTGTTGGGTCGTGAGGTAATGCTGTGTTTCCCTCTGAGGAACCAGCAGGCTGTTCTCTACGGTGGTGTCGCCATCCTGCTCCACCAGCAGTGTCAAGTGTTCCAAGCTCCCCGCATCCTCACCAACACCTTACCTTCCGTATTTTCCTTTTCTATCATTGTCTCTCTGGGACTTTGACTTGCATTTCTCTGATGACTAACATTGAATATAATTTCGTGTGCTTTTCAGATGTTCGCATATCTTCTTTACAGAAATCTAGTGAAAAAAATCATTGCTCGTTTTTTAATTCAGTCATTTTGTTGTTGTGGTGGTGGTGGTGGTGGAGTTTTAAGAGTTTCTTTATATATTTGGGATATAAGTCCTTTATTAAATGTATGGTTTTTAATTGTTTCCTCCTATTTTGGGAAGTCTGGATATGTTAGCTTTCTGTCCCTGTGATCAAATTCCTGACATAATTGACCTAAAGGAGGAAAGGATTTTTTGGCTCACAGTTTGAGGTTTCAGTCCACGGTCAACTGTCTGCACCCATTTTGGTGCTTGGTGATAAAGCCCACCAGGGAGTGTGTGATGGAGAAGGCTCCCTAGCTCATGGAAACCAGGGAGTGTGTGATGGAGAAGGCTCCCTAGCTCAAGGAAACCAGGGAGTAAAGCAAGAGATGAAGGACTTGAATTCGAATACCCCCCAAAAGGACCCCCTCAGTGGCCTAACTTCCACCCACTAGACCCCTCCAGCAGTGTCCACCATATCCCCCAAAGTTGAGGACCCAATGCATGGGCCCTTGAGGGACATCGGTAGCACCAGATCATGTCATGTGTCCAGTGACATTTCCATTTAGTCATCTTGGTGATTGAAGTAACAGTTGGATACAAATAAATTAAGGAAATGCCTTAAACCAGTATGTCTTCCAGCCTTTGACGAGGGATTCTGTGTGTATTCAAGGGAACCTTCCGTTCTATTGCTGAACGTTTACAACTCAACATAGCCAATATTCCCTGCTAGCAGAGAGCCTCCAGACCAGCCAAAGGTGAAAATAGGGCCTCTCAGGTCTTCCTTGAGCGTACACATTGCCTTGTACTTGCATGGGGCCTTCTAGGACCCAGGGGATAAGTCAGAGTTTCATAGCCGTGGACATTTTCCCAGTTTTTCCTTTTAAGTTTTATTGGTCAGACTCATACTAGTCCTAGCTGATATTGCTGCCTTGGTAGCAGTGATGTTAAATAATTGCTTTTTCACAAATACCTTGGGGATAGAGCGGTTCACACAGACCGAGCTCTGCGTCTGGTCAAGGCAGACGGCGCTGGAGGTGGAGCAGAAGGAGCTGCCAGAACCAGGCAGTGGGGACGATTCTCTTGGGGCTGTGGTTTTTCTGGAGCTCTGGCCCCCAAACAGCTCATTTTCACAAGTTCCATAGTTGCTTCTGGTTTCCAAAGCTGCCAAGAGCTGGGGTGAAGGGGAGGGGAGTTAAAAGACCACAGAGTCTGCTGTCCTTCCCCAGATTCAGCTGAGTTTGAAGGGCTGCGGATTGGTTTTCTCAAGCCTTGGTTAATATCCAGAGTTCTGGAAAGCTCGATCTAGGATCTCTGTGATGACATCCTCTCTGCTTTAATGGAGTAGTTGCAGAGGTCAGTTCTTTGTTTTTTTCTCCCCTTCTAGAAGTGCATTGCGTTCCCCTATCTCCTTAAGGGGTTCGCCATCCCGCCACCTCTCCAGGTTACAAATCCCCCATTCATTCCCGGCAAATACTTTACCAAGACACAGTCTGTGCCATGCATGTTATTTAGCGTCTGCCACCAACCTCTCCTTCCTCCTTCCTCTGACTGCAGAAAGGCTGCTTCCTTTCTTCACACATCTCTTCTATGCCTTCCATCTCCATGGAGATCTTGGCCAGCAGGGATGACCCCCGCCCCGAGTCTTTCCTCTTCCCCCATCAAAGGAGCTTCTTCCTTCTTGGTCACTGTCTTCTTGGGAGCTCTTCCTCTGCCTCTCTACCTCCCACACTAAACTCTACCTCCTCCAAGCAGGGTTTCCGTGCACGGCTTCCACTTGATGAGAGTGGCAAAGGCTCTCTGTAAGTGTTCTGTAGGCTAGGCGCGTGCCAAATGCTCTCCTTGCTTTATTTTATTTAGTGATCCCAGTCGCCTCAATAGGTAATTAGAGCCACACCCATTTTCCAGAAGAGAATACTGAAGTGCAGTAAAATGATGTCACTTGTCACATGCCTTATAAAAGAGCATATTTCTAACCCAACTTGGCTAGGAACGTAATCTTGTCAGTGACTCTGAACAGCGTCTCTCTAGGGAGGGAATCTGATGGTGACTCAGAGAAGGTATAGACGGTGCATTCCTACAGTCCTTGGACCAGTTGCCCCTTCCTTGGTGCCAGGCCTGATCAGAAACACCATTGCTGTCGTGTGTCTGCTCACCCATTTTCTACCCCAAGGTCTAGAGGAGACAGTGTGGTTGTGGCATCAGAGAGTGGCCTGTGATTCTGCTGTACCATACCCTGACTGGTTCAGAAGCCACCATCTGTCCCTGTTTCTCTTAATTAAGGTCTTCAAATTTTAAAGTGTTCCCCAATCTACAGTACAGAAGGCTTTGAACTTTGTAAGTTCTGCAGGCAGTTCTCTGAAAGTTCAGCAGGCAGTGTGTGTGTGTGTGTGTGTGTGTGTGTGTGTGTGTGTGTGTGTGTGTGTGTATAGCACTGCCATCAGCCATTCTGGACCTTTGACCTAGAACCGGGCTCAAATCACACTTGGAAAATACATATGAGTCTTTGTCATTTGATTCAGTCCTGGAATTGGGGTGGGGGGAATAATAATTTCAAATGGAAATATCCCCACTATGTGTCTACAGTTTCTACAAGTAAGGTATTTATTTGAATCATGTAATAAGACTGTGTAATTGGTGATGGCATGTACAAAGAAGAGATCCTAGAACTCGGAGTCAGACCCAGAAAGAGGGGGAGAAGGCACTCCCAGGATGCTCAGGATAGCAAAGGTCAGAAGTAGATGGGAGAGACCTGCATCGCAAGGAGAAAAGGCAGGCCTCTGTGTGAGTGCCCTAGCACCAGGGAGCTTTGTGACCCTGGAAGACCCCCTGTCAGTTGTACTGAGTGGCCTGCAGGCATCTGATACCTTTCCTCCTCAAGCATGGAAGTAAGTAAGGCACAGGCTGTTGAGGAAGCCCAGGGCCCAGGACAATGGGTATGTCTGCCTTGCAAGGCTTGGCATAACTGGTCCATCACTGGGTGGGCGAGCTGTGACCTGAGAGGGTCTTTCTGTTGTTTGCCTTCACAGGGTCAAACTTGGCACAGACGGCCCCTTCATTCTCCAGCGTCCTGAAGGACAGTGTTGTCGTTGAGGGCCAGGACTTGGTGCTGCGGTGCTCTGTACGGGGGACCCCAGTCCCCCGGATCACTTGGCTGATCAATGGTGAGTTCTCCCTGCTCCCGCCCCGTCGGCCTCCTGACTCGAGTTCTCTCTCCTCATACTGAACCTTGTGTGCCTCAGAAGCACAGGAAAGAGAAGGTGTGGGCTCTGGGCCTGCTGCTCACCAGCTGACCCAGTTCCTCTGCTCTTGGGGAATCCTGCTGCCAGCCTGGCAGGGTGACTGTTAGAGATTCACTGAGTTCACATGTATAAAGTGGGTAACGAGGCACCGCCCAGAGATACACACATGCTGTTTCAGTTTCTTTTCTTATGATTAGACTCCTAAGATACCATCAATAAGCGTTTGTTGAGTCAATGAATGAACACGCGCATGAATAACCCAGTGACCCACATCAGAACTTGGTCAAAGAATTTGACCTTTTATTGAGTGGCAGGTGGGTCTAGGATAAAAACTAGTAATTCTTTATGCTGTTAATTATACTTCTATAATTAAGTAAAGCTCTTTGACTTTTGTTTGGCTTTCAAGACAGGGTCTCTCTATGTAGACCTGGCCTTCCTGAAACTTTCTGTGCAGAACAGCCTGGCCCCGAACTCACAGAGATCCGCCTGCCTCTGCTCCTAAGTGCTGGTCATCAAAGGTGTGTGCCACCACACTTGGCATAAGCAATGGGCAGAGGCTGCTCGGGAGAAAGCATAGGGACCTGCTGAGAGGGGACTCTCTACAGAACAGAGCAGTCGGGGAACCTGACTTTTGAGGATGGGGACGGAGAGCTTGCAGTCTTAGCCGGTTCTCACGTCGTATGGCGCAGCCTTCTTCAAAGGCAGTGTCCATCGCTTGTCACCAAATAGACACACCAAACAGTGTGTCACTGTCCCGACCCATTGCCTGTGAGCCTCCATGCCCGTGAGCCTCCATGCCACTGAGGTTCTCTCCGGCTTTGCCAGAATTGCTCTCTGAGTGAGAGGAGGTGTGTACTCGCTCTCCAGGCAGTTAGCTCAGGAAGATAGGTGAGAACTGAGTGTGCCCTCTCTCCTACCCCTCACCCATGGGCAGATCTCAAGGGGTCCTGGGACTGACAGCAAGGACCCAGCTTACTTTCAGCTAGAGCTTAATATGAGCATAAGGACCAGTCGTGGGTCGGAGTGAGAGTTTCATTTTGACGGGACCGAGCTAAACAAGGGTCAGCGAGCATTTCCTCCAGAGAGCCAGTCCGTCAATCCTTTCAGGTTTTCAGGACATACTCTCCTCTGCCACAACTATTCAACACCACAGTTGCGACATGAAAACAGCAGACAGTGTGGAAATGATTTGTGGGCACTAAAATAAGAATTTCATGCAATTTCCCCATGTCATGAAATTTTATTCTTTTTTATTAAAAAAAAATATATATATAAAGTACTTAAATAGTGTTCTTGGTTTGCTAGCTGTGTAGAACCAAATCACATAGGTCAGTGCGGAGAAGTTTTTTTGTGCAGTGGACATTGGTTAACAGAAGCTCACCACTGGTCAATACGCAGAAAATGCTATATTTGGAGTGCTCAGCCGCAAATAGAACATCTATATCATATTCGTCTCAAGACTCAGGGTCCACATCAGAAGATGGGACAGAGAGACTGCAAGAGACAGAAGGAAGGGAGGGAGGGCTGGACTGAAACGGTGTCTCTGGACACGACAGGACCTCTCCAGTCATAAACTAACAGCAGCTATGGTTGCCTGCATGAGACCTGACAGGATTGAGCCAGTCAACATTCCAACATGGAGCGGGAAGGGCTCGTGAGCCCCACCCTTAGCTGATGAGCTACTGGTAGTTGGTAGCTTAAGGGGGAGAGAGGGTCTGTTTTCTTTAAGAATATGTATGGCCCCTGGTAGGAATCATGCTCCGTACCCAAGAATATATGAACAGGACAGGTTTGACTTAATGGGTCAATAAAACAAATTCAATAAAACAAAACAAAAAGGACACAAAATTGTGGGTTGGGGTGGGAGTGAATCCGGTAGGAGTGAGGGGGAGGAGTTGGGAAGACTATGGCCAAAGTACATTGTATGAAATTCCCAAAGAATTAATATATAATATATATATAACTATACATTATAATTAATACATATTACTATATACTATGATATCTAATAATGCAATATGTTATAATAAATTATAGTAATATATGTTGTATTCTAATACACACACTCACACACACACACAGGTTGCAGGTGGGGTGTGGACCATGGTTTGTGTTTCTTTGCTATTAGTAGTGAGTCTTGACCGTGGGGGTAGATCTTGGCTTTCCGCACTTTTCCCACTAGAGGGCAATCGTGCTTAAATTCACCTTCCTTGGCTTCAGATTAGTCCAAACAAACCTCTAGGCTGGGAGTTTCTTTCTTTTTTCTTTAGACTGGGAGTTTCTTAACTCTGGGTCATGATGTGCTCTGAGCCAGCAGCTTCCTTCTGGGGCGCACCATCCCTGCTTGTGGGCCCGAAAGGAGTCAAGAATTGTGCATCAGGAAAAGACAGGTTCTCATAGTGCTTGTCACCCATGTTGGGACAGAGGAGACAGGCTGAGGACAGTCAAGGAGCATGCTGGTGGTCTCAGGTTCGAGGGGTGTCACTCTTACAAAAATAAAAACAAAGGGTATTCAGTCCTTCCAATGGCGCTCTCCTGGCCCCTGCCTCCCCCCCCCCCCCCCCCCCCGCTCCACCCCTCCCAGTCCTACTTTTATGGAATGCAGTGGATTGGAAAGGTCCTCTTCCCTCCCTCTTGCTTGGCAGTCTCTTTGCAAAACTGTCCTGGAGACACGAAGTGTTGTTATGTGCAGAAGAAAACATTGCTCTATGGGAAGGGCTGTTTCTCACTAAACTGCCTGCCTCTCCTGCCTCCCACCCTTAATTTTATGAAGTGCAAACTAGGACTGGGCGGGGGGGGGGGGGGTGCTGGCAAGAGAAAGAAGTGACAGTTGCTTCCTATACAGCAGAGGAACACATTCCTGCTAGAGGCCAGACTCTTCAGTAAGAAGACAGACTATTTCCCTAGAAGTAAAGGTTCCATTGTAGAATGATACCATTTTGGAGCATGTATTAAAGATGGCACTGATGCTAACTGCTTACAACCTGTTGCCACATAGGACTGCATATAAAGAGGGCTTCTTGTAGGACCATTCATTTTTTTATTCCCCACGTGTGTCTTTCCCTTGAATGCTAAAGTGTAGCTTATTGCACAGAGGAAATGAACGTAATTGCCACATTAGGGTGGGGCTACAGCATTGCTTTCTGATCAATATCTATAATGGGAAATGGAATCATTCTTTCTGGAGACATCTCAAAAGAGCTGAGAGCCACATGTTCAGTCTGAATGAGGTCTACTCTGCCGAGCCTGGGCTGTGGACCAAAAGACCCTGCAGAATTCTTTCCAGGTGTGTGGAATGGAGGTTATCCAAAAATGCCAGCTGTCTGTCATTGCCCTCCCGCATGCCAAATTCTTCCAGAGTGACTCTACCCAGTCTTTCCAGGCCCAGGCTCATCCTCCATGGATTTGGACCGGCTCCAGCGTCGTGACAGTTGCCCTGCCGGGGTCAAGCCTGGTATCCCACCACCAGCAGGTGCTTCCTGGCCTGAGCCCTTCTGTGCTTCCCTCTGCAGGGCAGCCCATCAAGTTTGCTCACTCCATCTGTGAGGCTGGCATGGCTGAGCTCCACATCCAGGATGCCCTGCCAGAGGACCATGGGACCTACACCTGTTTGGCTGAGAATGCCTTGGGGCAGGTGTCCTGCAGCGCCAGGGTCACCGTCCAAGGTAGGATCCTTCAAGCATTTTTTTTCCCTTGAAGCTCCGCCTGTTTGCTTTGAAGGAAGAATGCTTTTATAGACCATAGGATTCCTGGCCCGAATTCAAGGAGCAGAAGCGTAAATGGAATTGTGATTGCTGGCAGGCAGCTACGGAAGCAGAGAGGCTGCTGGGACATCTTAGGGACAAAGGAGAAGTTACATAGACAATCCTGAGCATAGGCATGAAGTGGAACACCTGATATCCCAGCCCTAGGGAGGGTGAGGCAGGACGATCCTGAGTTCTAAGCCAACCTGAGGTGCATAGAAAGTAAGACCCTGTATCCAAGGAAAGGAAGGAGGAAAGAAATGGAAGAGGGAGGGGAGGGAAGGGAAGACCCTGACCCTGGAGGCAGGCAGATGGAAGAGATGGTCTCTGACAATCCACAGTAACAAGAACGTGTCTCGCATCCCTTAACCCCATTGGGCCATGGAGACACACCAGGGAAAGAGACAAGGGTCCCCTGATTAGATGGAATCTAATCTAGAATGGAATCCATCTAGAATAAGAAAACTACCTGCACTGCAAGATGTGCCCTTAACATGCAGCGGCCTTACAAAAGGCTCTGTGCCCTGAGGTGCTCGTGAGGCAGCAGGTCCTGAGACTTCTGAAGGGTCCAAGGTTTTCCCTTACCAGCCTGGTGCTGAGGAATCTGATTCTCACAGTCAGCCATTGATCAGGCCAGCACTTAGTCCCCAGGAATCATTAGGCTTGAGACTCACCTTTCTGGGCTGTGGCTATGTATGGTGGTTGTTTCCAGGAAGAGAACGTGATTCTAAGGTCCAGGACCCTCAGGTAACCCTGATTCCTGCCTTTCCTTAGCCTGTGCCCTGAGCTCCTGAGAGTGACTGGGTCCTCTGGGTGCTTAGACAGGGTAGAGTGTGCCTGCCTTCCCTACCAGCCAAGAAGCAAACCCTACCTCATTTCTTTTGTCCACCCCCAAAATTCATGCTTCCTAGGAGAGTCCTCTTGTAGTGTGAATAGCCACGTTCTGGAAGGCTATGTGAGATGGTATCACAGAAGAGGGCACAAAAGGCATTCTGCCTCCTCTATCTCTTCAGCTATACCACCTCACAGAGACCCCTGGGGCTCAGGGCAGAGTGTTGCCTTTGTCTTATACAGAAGGATCTAGTGGCCTTGACATCAGTGGATCTTGGCCAGCACACTATCCCAGGAAAGCAGGTAAAGCGGCATCTGAGCCCAGGTCCTGGGACCGAGGCCCAGGGCACCCCGTAGATGCCCTTTTTCAGAGTACCCCTCCCCTGGCCCAGAGCAGAAGGCTAGCCACAAAGGGAAAGGCACTGTCCTTCCCTAGGGCTAAGGGAGCTGTCACTAACAGAGAATGTGGTCCATGTCTGCCCCGTGTGGCCGTCTGCCAGGAGGGACTTGGATTTCTCTGAAGAAATGCCTCTGTGTGGAGTCATGTGTGAACCAGCCTGCCCCTTCCTTCCAGGAAGCCTTCCACACTGGGGTCAGAGCTGGCGGTGGCCCGTGAGGTCTTCTCTGGTACACACACACACATAGCCCACTTATCTCTATAGTTCTCATGGCATGGCCGCTGGGGGCCTCGGGGGACCGTGGTATGAGACTTCCAAGGAAGCACAGAAGTTCACAGCCTGGTCTTGGAGGCCCAGGGCGGCAGCTCTCCCATCTTCCCAGAGGCTAGCCGGTCTGTAGTGGGCAGGAAAGGACAAATGGCATAGGATAGACCAGTTTTACCCAGTCTTGTATCTGGTAGTCAGCTAATCCAGCATGTCTTCAGTTGTTTGTGTTCTAACTGGATTAGAGACTCAGCTACAGTAACAGTCTCTGTGGGCTAAGGGGAGGGGAGGTCTTCAGATGAAGGATGGGAAACTCGGGGGTATCCCCCTGACTCCTGAGTGTTGGGAAGGCCGCACGATTGCCCGTCTAAGTGTGTTTTAAAGCAAACGGGGAAAAGCTGCAGCACAGCCCCACCAGGTCCTCTGCATCTGCTCTTAGCAGCCTGGTGAGTGAGTGCCCTCCTGGGTGGGGGAGGTACTGACCTTTCCAAAGCAGACCGAGGCTCCGAACCATAAATGGAAAACAAGGCTGAGACACAACCACACTCGGGCCCCGGTACGAGACTTCTCTGCACAGGGCTGGCAGAGTACACCTGGCACAGTGACATTTCTGGCACCCTGCCCCAAGGTGCTTTGGAGGTTCCAGGCCGTGTCTTGCACCCTCCTCAGCTTTGGAGTTCTGCTGACTTTTGTAGCAGCTCCTTTGGCTCCAGCCCCCCTGGGAGATGTTAAGGGACTTACTCCATGCTGCCTCAACTGCTGAGCCACCCTTCCCTATAGCTCCCCAGGCCTGATTCTGTCACTCAGTGTGGCATCATGGAAAGTGTCAATACAAAGCCAAGGACTGACCTGAATTCCATTCACTGCTTCCTAGACTTGTCACCTGGGTGTCAACTCTCCAGGTATCACCTTCCTCTGTGTGACATGGGGGACACTGGTAATCACAGTACTGTGAGGATTAAATGAATTGCCCCCCAAACCGTAGAATGCTCCATATGTGCTGTTGTGATGGGTGTCCAAACTTTAAACAAGACGGATTATCCCAGGGAGTGATTTTAACCAAAGAATCAACTCGCTGCAGTATTATCTGTCTGCTTGGTAAAGGGCAGAGAGGACTGGAAGTTCACGGTCTGCCTGGCTACACAGCCACAGACCAAGTGAGAGCCAGGACAAATTGGTTCAAACTGACTTGAGCCAGCCTGGGCTCATGTGCTGCACCTTGAGGCTCTGACCACAAGGTGGCGCAATGCAGCAACGCATTGCCCTCCGCTTGCCGATTCTCGTGAGGAGCTGGTTGTTCAGCCCTCCTGCCAGACTAGAGCTCTGTCTGTGAGCGCCCAGCAGGTTCTGTGCTGAAGAGCAGACATGGGGACTCTTCCTCAGCGCTTGATCCTTTTGTCAAGGCGTCACAGTCTTTCAGAGCACTGGCCCAGCACTCAGAGTTGTTCGACTTGTCTCTGCAGCTCTAAAGCCTGGCTAGCTCCCACCGATGCCACTTTCTCCCAGAAGCCTTCCCTGCTCGCCTCAGAAGAAGCCCTGCTAACACCGTGCATCCCTTGTCGCATTTATTTACCAAAAGTCTTTGCCGAGTACCTGCATTCGTCTGGTCTGGGGACACTGTAAAACGCAGGCCCGCCCTCGCCCTGCTTACCCTCTGATGGAGAGGGTGGCAACAGTCAAGACGTGGCTTAACTTCACATGCCGACACATGCTTTTAAGAAAATGAACGGAGAGCTGAGGATGTTGCTCAGTGGTAGAGAGTGTGTCCGCCATCCCTACATCCCTGCACTGGATCCAGAGCATCACACACACACACACACACACAACACACACACACACACACACACACACACACACACACACACACACACACACACACACACACAATTTCATTTACAAAACTGAACAGGGAATGAAAGTAGACAAAGGCAGACAAGATCTGTTCTAGGTGGGTAGGTGGGCAGCAGGCCACACAGCAAGTGCCCTGAGGTGGGAGCAAGACCGGCCTGGTCAACATGGCCATTGTGGCTGAGCCAAGTGAGCGGGTAGCAGAGTAGCAACATAATGGGGGTGGGGTGGGGCAGGGATGCATCATGCAGGGCCTCAAGGTTAAGAGACATTGGTTCTAATTGCTTTTTTAAGTATCTGCAATCTTCCTGCAGGGAGACTCCTTGTCTTCCTGATAGAGTATGTAACTCAGGACCTGTCCTGTGAGCTCCTGTGACCAGTGAGCAGTGACTGAAAGGGCGTTGGCGTGGGCGAGCCCTTCCCATATGCAGAGAGGCATTCCCTTGACTTCCCCACTTGTCTAGGATCTCAGTGCCTGAAACTTTAAGGAGATCTGTGAGGGAGACCAGCTCCCTCTTTTTCCCCCAGGGTATTCTTGAGGAGGGAGAAGTGAGAAGTATGTAGATAGAAGTATGGAGGAGAGAGACAGAAACACAGGATAGCGTGGGAGGGCCTCGGTCAAAACCCAACAGCCCCTTCCAAAGGGCTTATAAAGGAATGCTGGGGGTGGAGCAAAAGACCTCCCCCCAGCACAGCCAAGTGCAGACCCTCCCAGGCACCTGGTGACCATGCACGTGGTCCAGCCATCCCCTAATGCAGCCCTGCTGTGTAAAGCAAGCTCAGCTCTCACTAGGACCTTTGTGGGCTCCCACAGACCTGCAAATTAGCTCTCACGAGCCCCTCAACAAATATGTCTGTTTCCCTTCTCTCCAGGCTAGGAGAAAGACCATCCCCATTGTTAACCAGGCAACATACTCTTCCTTCCACACCAAAAGAATGGAATCTAGTGGACGATGAATCTGAGTTCCTACAGTGTCCTGGAAGATCTAGAAACAGTCACTAACTCCCTGTATCAGGACTGAGTCATGAGCAGGGGGTCTTTCCTGGGCTAGGGTATTTTCAGTTTAACACACACACACACACACGCACACACACACACACACACACACACACACACGGTATCTATGTCAAGGCTAAATTCTTAAGCAACAAGATACATTAATAATCTGCTAATTATACCTATTTTGACATAGTTTCTCCACTAATGATTTGTTTGCTCAACTAAAGGCTTGCTGGGCCTCTGAGAGGACCCTAAGGACATAAAATGTGGGTAAGGTAAAAAGAAAAAAAATCTGATGAAAAAAATGTTTTATGAAAACATTTGTTAGAGGGTTTGTTTGATGAAGAGTCCCTAGTGGGGACAGCAGGCCTCTCAAAGCAGCCATGTTCTTGACTCTGAATACCTAGGTGTGTGGCAGCTCCCAGCCTCCTCTGCTCATCCCAAGTATGTGCGTGTACTTTGGACCTGTGTCATCTGTCTGCTGGCATAAGTCATGGACCCTGCCCTCTGTCAGCTGAGCACACCGGCAACCATTTTAACCCTTACGTTTTGGCTGAAGAGAGACTCCTAGAAGGAGAAGA